ATTCCCTCTTGCCTTGAATTGCCACTACAATGAAGAAGCGTTACTTCTAACACTAACTGACATATTGATGTCCAGTAGGTACAAAAATTGCAGGGCTCTCTACTGTTATCTAGATAGGAAGGCTTTTTTGTGATGCCAGTCTTTTGTCAAATTCTAGGTGGACCTCCATTAATTTCACAGTATGAAACACTTTTTCAGAATAGCGCACAAAGCTTTTTGGTAGATTTAAAAACCCAAAAGCTGCCGTCACCAATTAAAAATACCACAAATGCATTCATGACAACCAGAAGGATTTCTCCTGCGCCAGAGTTACACTGCTGCCTCCATTTTTGCATCGAGCCCCGGATATCTTTGTTCCCTCAATTGATGTTCAGGTGTAACTGCATGTTCTGGTTAACCACCCTGAAATAGCTACAGCTGCCTGTGTTGAAGTCGCCAAAAAAGAGATTGCTTTCTTCAGCAGAAAGTGTAATTGTAATCAGTAAGCAGGCAAAAAGATCTTGTGTGCTACTTGGTTACTCTTTCATTTTAAACTGTTTTGGTGTAGCAGTAAGGAAGTATGGAGAAGGCATCTTTCCAATTAATGATCTGAATGCACTTTTGCTAAAGATGAATACAGTGAGTTCTTGCGCAGATGGGCATTGATTTGCCATTCAACTGAAGGAAAGGAAACCTGAGTGAATCTAAATTCCATGATATTGAAACGAATGCTGACCTTTTACCTCTTCTTTTCATTCTTCCTTTTTCTCTCTTTGGAATTCTCTTATTCCACAGTTTAATAGGTCAAGTCTCCCAACTTCACCCACCTCTGATTTCCAGCTGTATGATCTACAGTCCTTTTTTTTTTTTTTTAAGTATTCAAGGCAGTAAAGTGGTTTTTATTTTATTTTCCCCTCAGCAGTCTGTGGTATGCAGAGGGACTACTGCTGCTGGCTGTCAAATGGATTTTTCCAAAACCTCCTTCCCTACTCTGCAGTTTGGCAATCATTTTATTTGCTTCAAGCTGAAATTTCAAATTACTCATCTGGAATTTAGAGTAATAGGGCACTCTGTAGAGAGCCCTTTGATAACATAGCAAGGAATTCTTACAGAATACTTGGTGGCTGTGGATTTTCACAGCAACTGACAGGTCCCTTCCTGTGAATGTGAAATGAAGGACTTGGAATATTAGATACTCTGTTACGAAATCTGTTGAGGCTTGCAGGGATTACTTTATAGTCAGACGTTATCGGATACCATACTTGAGGAAACTTATTTGTTGTTTTTTTGTGTGCTTTTTCTCAGTGGTTGGTTGGTTGGTTGTGTTCTTTGTTTGCTTTTTGTGTTCTGTTTGGAAGCCAGGAAGTATCAGGGAGCACTTCATATACACTTGTTCTGTATCCTCCCCTCAATCCTTTCCTAGGCATCTGCCTATCATCTTTTTAGGAAAAAGGATACTGGACTCAAATAAGTTCGGGTTCTGACCCTTTAAAGTTTGAAAGACCATTGATTTTTGGCCTAAAATGGTAATAATCCATTGCAGTAAGTTTTTACCAGACCATCATATCTTGGAGATTCTGGCTCAGTTTCTTACATGTTTCTTGCAGTTTGGTGGGTTTTTGTTTGTTTTTTCAAGAATTCAGAATCCTTCTGTCTTAAAGTTTCTGATTTCCCTTGTAAATGTTTACATCTTTTTTAGTTCACTCCTGTACTTAGGCTGTTGTCTTATGGTTTGGGCAGCTCTCCATATAATTTGTTCACAGCAGTGCTCATTCACTGCTGAATGAGTATGCTCACTCAGCTCTCGGTTATTTTAGGAGCGTGTTGTCTTTATTTAGTCACTGATAGATCTCTCTTCCCCACTCTGATCGTTGATAACTCATCCTTTGAAGAAAGACAAGGGTGTAAGTGTGCCACTTTCTACTAGTACATATTTTCCCTTTCATCTTGGCCCAGGTGCTTTTCTCAGTCATAAGGAAGATTGCAGTGGGTGCAAGAAAATTTGCAAAAAAGGATTGCAAAAAAATTTCGTTTGTTTGCTTTCCTCTGTCTGAATCCAGAAAGTGACAAAAGTGTCCTAAGAAATCAGATAATCACATCAGTGAGTCTGCAGCACCACAAGAATTTGAAGCTTTGCTAGAACATCTGTTTCCTGTGACACGAGGTTGATTGAAGCAAACTTTGAGAAAACAGCTACATCTCCCTAGCAGTAAGAATTTAACAGACTGGAGATCAGGCTGCCTGCTAAATGGAAAAGTTTATTTCTTTTTGTAAAGCCACCTGTGTACTATTAGTGAGTGGAAATTAGTCATTTGTCTGGTATAGCTTTTGGTCTGACAAATTCCTGGAGGTAATAAAACAATCCTCATTTTTGTGGGTTTTTAAGTCTTCTCTTCTGTCTTCCCCCACAAATGCCATGCACATGCCTCTCTTAACCATGCTGGTTTTGTACGATTGGCTGAATTGGCTTATATCGATTTCTAGAGTATTTTTTTCTCTGTTTACCAAAGGGTAAGGAAGGAATTCCTGAGGAAGGAATTGAGTTATCATTGTTTCTTCCTTTCCTGTGCTTCTATACCTTCAAGTTCCAAATCTAAACCCAATATTGGATTAATCCTTATAGAATGTTTCAATTCTTCATTTCTAAAGTGGAGGAATACAGGTTACCCCCCTTTCGTGACTACTTATTTTCTTTGAAACAGGAGTAAAAAGGCAATGATTTGATTTTTATATTAGTATGCAGTCCTCTCACATGAAGATAATCCTTTCTTAAAAGTGATTGAGTAGATTGTAACTGAGTAGGTTTGTTGGTATGCAAGCTAAGAAAAAAAGGAGAATTAAAAATGAAGCCTATTCCTTGGAAAAGTACTGATAGATATAAAGATATATCCTTTTTTTTTTTTTTTTTTTTTTTTTTTCCTTTTCCCCCTTGTCTGTGTAGTGTTTCTTTTGCAGGTAAATTCCTGCTGCTTCTCTCTGTTTTTCCTGTTAGTGGAGAGAAGAAGCTTAAAACATTTTTAGGAAAAGTAGAAGCTGAAGATGATTGATCTCCCTTCAGATCTTCAGGTCAGTTTTTGAAGAGAATGTTAGACTTTTTGCTTTTACTGAATCCTTCCTACCTTACCTGCCTTGAGCAATGGAATAATTTGCTTCACCACAGTTTAAAGTTGCCATCATGACCTTGATGAGATGAACAAGGTTTTTCGTACCACATAACTTGGATGCAGGCCCTTGTTAGGTCAGTGGTGTAGCAGCTGTTGGTATCAAACCTAATATGCCTGTTTTTTGTGGTTTTTTTTTTGTTTGTTTGCTATTTTACAAATCATATTATTTCTTCTTTCTTCTCTTCCTGCCTCCTGTTAAAGGATGAGATACTGCTTGGTCTATTGAATAATAGGCTTCTGGGTAATGAGTAAAAACTTAAGAATCAGCACAGACTTCACTCCCCGCATTTGGTGACCTGAATGTCCTCCTTGTGTAGGATTACATTTTTTATTTTTTCGTTTTATTTTTGGTTCTGTTGGTTTTTATTCTTTCCTTAAAGGATGGATGTACCTGATGCCTAAAAGCAACTTCAAGACTGTACCTTCTGCACTTCTAGAAACTTGCTTCAGTGCTCATGGTGGCCTTAGAAACTGTGAAACTAGACTACTAGATGGTAGTCTAGCCTCCTGTGAGGCATGGGAGCTCACTTGAGCTTAGTTGTTCTCAAGAGGAGAGTTTGCAGCAGAGAGATGGATCTCGTGCTCAGAAATTGCAATTTGTTTTTTCAGTTTCAGGCCCTTTGCAATTAAATGCAAATGTCCTAGGTAACAGGCACAAACAACGTGTTCGACTTAATAAATGTAACTAGAACTAGTTAATGGGAAACAGCATTATAAAATGGCTTGTTATGCAGAATTCTTTTTCTTCTGGGGAGGTGCACTTGCTTCAACTTGACGTGATATACTGGACTGACCATTTCTCCCTGTGAGGATAACATTAAGAGTGTAAGACTGAGAAACCTACATAACAACAAATGCTTATCATTCATGTGTTGGTTGTCAGTGCAGTGCCATAGAGGATGTATCGTAAATAATGAAGAATCCAAAAGCAGTATTTTCATGTCCTTGCATTGCACAGTTTCTGTTTTATGAAATGCGAGGGAATGCAGAGAATGAATAGGTAGCTGAGGCCGCCTAGTGCCAACAGCGGGTACTGCAGCTTTCGGGCGCACGGCTGCATTTTTTTTTTATGTATCTGCAAAGAATTTGCAAAGTTGTGCGAAAGTATGAAAGAGGATTTGATTTGCAATCGTTATTGGTAATATAAGTGGTACAAACAAAATGACAGAAAAACTGAAAGCCTGCAATGTAGATTTTTACCGTGGTTATACGTTTGCCTAAAAATTACTGTGGTCCACACTACATAGCTAACAGCTTCTAGTGCTGTTATGTGTGGTGTAAATTGAGGATAGGAGGGAGGGGGAAGAAAAAGTGCCAGTGAGGAAGGCGTGAGGTGCTTGTGGGGTTTTGTTTTGTTTTTGTGATCATTAGCAGCATGGCTTTGAACTGCTAAGGCTTTGAGAATCACTTCCAAATGCTACGATCTGAGTAACAGTAGTGTGGATATATGTTAGGATAGATTTCTCTTGTGATTAAAATTTAATTGAAAAGTCTGTGTTCACAGCTAGTGAGATGTAGTACAGAGTTCCTTCTAGGAAAGAGTAAAGACCAGAGAATAACTCCATGCAAGCTAACTGAGGGATCTTAGTAGTCTAGTTTTAACGTAGATCTTCTCAGTCTTTTTGTGTTGCAGTAGCCTGTGAGCATTTCTTGAACTTGAAGCTTTTGTCAAAATGCAGATATTTGCTCTAATGACAAAATTCTGGCTTTTTGATAGCAGTGAATAGCTGATAATGGAACTTACATTCATTTTGGTCTTAGGTAAACTGAGTTAGGTTCCCACTCCCTCCACTCTGTAATGTACCCCTTCGTTTTGCTGTTGTGCATGTTTTTTATGTTCTTCTCTTTTGTTTTCAGTTCCTCGAGGATTTTATGTATTGCATATGAAGTTTTGCAAGGTTTGCAATATATGAACAAACATGGAATGGTCCACCGAGCGCTCTCCCCTCGCAATATTCTTTTGGATCGAAAGGTACAGCTACATGAATGAGTCTGTGTTTTGTTTTTTCTTCCTCCTGACGAGTAGCATGCTGTGTTGTATTTGGAGACTCGACTGTGGCAGCCCTTCTGATTAGGGTGAGTGGGGCAATTGTATATGTGGGGAAAGTGTAGGGGTTGTTACTGGTTTTCCCCTTTTTTGTAGATCTCAAGCGTAGTTCAGATTTGTTTCTGTTCCCACCTTTTTTTTAATCACAAACCATGTTTTTTATCCTTCTTAAAGTAGAGATGGAAGTCTCCTTGATTGTCAGCATTATAGTTACAGGGTCTTACTAATTTTTTAATAGGTATGTATTTTTTTCCAAGCTAGTTTGCAGTTCTGTTAGTTCCCTATGTGTCATGTTGATCTGAAATGTGACTTTCAAATATCAACGTATTTCTTTGTCATGTTAAATTATTAAAATTGCAATCTGTCAATTCTATTCTGTCACAGACTGCTGGGTTGGCAGTGTGGAATAAAGGTTCCCCTCATAAAAGATGAGAAAACCAGTAGCTACTGTTTTATTCAGGGCCATCACCGTATCTGAACTGATGGCTAAAATGCTTAGCCTATATGAACAGCCCCTCTCTCCTTCACCTTCTTACTTGCTTTAAACACAATAGCTAGTTCTTTCCTTGGAAGGCAGAAAGAAAAGAGAAAGGAGGTGAGGAACACTTATTGATATGGTCTTGTATAAATTACTTGTAAACAAGTGAAAATCATAATAATGCACTAACAAGCAAAATACTTACAGTTTGAAGGTAGTCCTAAAATCAGTTGAAGAACAAAAGGGGTCATGAGGCCATAGAATTCTAAGCTTTTTCCCTGCCAGATTGCTTGCTGGTGTAGCCTTTACTGTTGCACCATCTGCAGGCTGGCTGAACACAGTTCAAAATACAGCAGAAACATTAAATTCTGTGCCATTTTTTATATTTTGATTTTGGTGTTGCATTTCTGCCTTCGCAGAATAAAATCCAACACCTGCAAAGCATGTTTGGTTGAGATAGGTATGGAGTATTAAAGAGAGCAAGGTAACGAGTTGATGGTCAAGACTGGTGAAGGAGCCAGACTAGCTAAATAGAAGAAGTGAGAGAACAGTGGGGCTGCTGAAGGAGTTCTGAGATTCAAATGGGATTGCAAAGAGATTTGAAACAGGAATTATGTTCATTAGAATATTTAAGCTTTTTAAATTTACTCTGAATATATTGTAACTTTCAAAGTTCTGACTTGCTTATGTGCTCCGAGTCATTACTTCATGCTCATAGAAAGTAAAAGCATTGGAAATAAGCACCTTACTAACTTGCAGTGGAGATCTGCTTAGGATAGGAAACAAAAACAGAAAGAGCTGACTTCTTATGAGTGTCTGTCTCAACAGCTAATGCAGTTTGCATGAAAGTGATTCTTTAATAATACTTAAATACATGTTTTTATTATGTCTGATACTGATGCTCTTGATTTTTGTTGTTTTTTGTCTTGAATTATTATTCTCCTTTCCAGGGACACGTTAAGTTGGCTAAATTTGGACTTTACCATATGACTGCTCAAGGTGTTGATGTTGATTTTCCTATAGGGTAAGAATGTAGCTGCTTGACATAAACATATTAGGGATGTATTCATTTAGGTACACAAAAATAGTAGTGATGCTTCCCTTTGAATCTTGTTTTCAGATTTTATTTTTTAATGTATTCTCATGAATAGTTGAAGGGATAAATGATAATGATATTTTAGATTGATTTAGCAGTAGGCACAATGTGTAACGCTTAGTTCTTGGGTTGTTGTTTTTTTTTTTTTTTTTTGGCTAAGTCAATAATTATTTGATGGGAATGATGATAATGGAAGGGAACAATGGATCTAGGATATTTATTTATTGTACTAGTACATTTATTGTACTATTTACATTTATTTAATGTACTAGTGCTAAAATTCAAAATAGGTTTACTTTGAGATATGTAGATATATATACTACATTGAGAATTGATGGTACTTCCTCTTAAAAGACCTAGTAATTAAAATGTGATCTTTCACGTGGTAGATGCTTGTGCAGTTAGAAGTGAAAGTGCTTCAATGCTTGTTTTGGCTAAATAGAACAATTTGCATTTTGGTATAAATTCTGATTTCTCATAATGCAAAATGATTTTGATTAGCATATCTGAATGGTAGCTTTTTGGGCAAACAGATCATTGCTTAATGTTACTGCATTTTTCTAGGTACCCGTCTTATCTGGCACCTGAGGTAATTGCACAGGGAATAATCAAACCACGTGATCATACTCAGTGTGAGAAGCCTCTGCCTTCTGGCCCTAAATCGGATCTCTGGTCTCTTGGCATAATACTATTTGAGCTTTGTGTGGTATGTAAGAGGGTATTTTTCTTCATTGTGACTCTTGGGGAATGGTTACGTTAGCATGATTGCACTTTGCCTGTCGTCAGACTCCAAAAATCACACTACATTAACCTTTCTACCTGATCAGCATTGGTGGTGGTGGTTGAAGTTACTGCATGCATGTTGGCTTGGTATGAGTACAGGTGTTACTGTGCAGGGCAGCTGCCTGTTAAGCCATGATGATGAAATGCAACGAAAAGCCAATCAAGTTTCTTTACTATGAGAGCAGTACATCTACCCTATTACCAGAGTCTAAAGAGCTTCAGTAAGGAATAAAAGGCTTATTTTGAAAATGGTTATTTGGCTTTAGAAGATGGGATAAATTAAGCCCACATCATCTTTACTACTTCTAAATGTGAAATTACAGTTTTTCATTCAAAGACAGCATTCTACGCAGGAACAAGATTTAGCAAATCTGTTAGTACTGATGTCTAGTCTCATTACACAACTAAATCATCTGACAATTGCATAATCAAGAGCACGTTGTATGTAGTGAGTACATCAGGATGTGGGAATTGGACTCGTGCATATTCTGTGCTTCTGTAAATTCTCAGAAAGTTCATAGATCATTTGTTGTTACTCCTTTAAAACGTACGTTTTCTTAAAATCTGATCAGGACATTTTGGAAACATTTTAAAACAAAGTATAGATTATTCTTCTTAAGTACAGTGCAATACAGGCTGTGACTCTTAAACGTGGAATGATCATGAATATCACCTTTGATTATGATCATGTTGGAAAAAATAGTTTTTTAATTGAGTTGCAGAATTCATAGTACATTTGTAGGTTTTCTAAGGCAACTTGGGACTTTGACTTTGTCTTGCACATTTCTTGTTTGGTTTCCCTCTGTTCCAGGTAAGAGACATTATAAATTATGTGTTTTTCTTTGTGGTGGCATGAAACAGTGTCTGGTATATTTGATGTTTTGTGTTCTTATAAATAGTTTCTTCAATTCTTCCAAAATTAATTTTGGAAGCTTATTTCACTGTCTTTGTAGAGAGGTGGACGCTGTCTGTGTATGCTATCTAAATATTTTGATGTAGTAGTATTGATATATTTATTTGATTGGGTCATATTATTCATTTAGGGGAGAAAATTGTTCCAGACTCTGGAGATAGCAGAAAGGTTAAAATTTGTAATTGCACTAGGTAAGTAGACAAACCAATTTTTTTATTTTTTTAGTTTTTGGGCAGTGCTGTAACTGGAGCTATGCAAACTAATCAGCTTGTGGTGCTCAGACCTAAGGCACTTTACCTCTTGTCTGCTTTCATCTCTGGAGTTGAGAATACATTTGAAGAATAGTGACTTGCCTAGGGAAGGGGCAGAGATGGGTGCCAGTTGTAATAACTGCAGAAGAGCCGTGTGTATCTTTGAGTATGGGTAAGATATGGAAAAGTGTGCTCAGGTAATTTTGTCAGTTAATTGTTGTTCTATGTTGTAGGCGTCTCTGAAATGACTTAGGAATTGTGTAGCACTAAAGAAAACTGTCGCTGCAGTAGCAAGCAGGGAAAATCAGGACTCAAGCAGGAAGATAGGAAACTAAAAAAGAGCTGAGAAGCATATTACTAAGATATAGAGTTTAGTTTTTTTACTTCATCTACAGTGGAAAAGCATTAAGCCAAAATTTCAAGTCTGTAGTGATGTTAATGAATCTAAAATTGGGACTGTTCTGTGGCATTTTAAATTGGATTCGGATGTGGATGTTATGTATAAGCCATGTGGAAGGAATGCTCAATATTTGAAGCTTTATGCGTGAGTTATTGAATTTTTTCAGAACAAAGAGCAATACCATTAAAGTTAGTTACTGCCAGTACAAATGTCTTTTTCTTTGAGCAGTGAGTACTTTGGTGTTGAAATTCTCAGTGTTTTGCTGTGCAATTTATTAGCAAGGCTTCCTGAAGGGGTTGAATTTCCTTCGAGTTGAAAGCAAGTCATTATGAACCTTCATCACTGAAAAATGTTTATATCCTGACCTGAGTATTATTATCTCAGTAATATGTTGAAAATAAGTTGTAAAATACTGCTTCTAGTTGCAAATAAAAAATACTAGAAATAGCAAATAAAAATAAGTACTTTGAGTTTCTCTGTGCAGGTACTCTTAATTTTTTTTTAATTTTTTTTTTTTTTTTTTTTTTTTTTTTTAAGTAAGTTCAAGGACTGAACTTATTTGGCACTCTGAATTACTAAGCCTGCCAAGAAGGCTTTCGCTGTTAAATCAGATTCACTACCTAGCTTTGTTCAGCTTCTGTTTTATTTCTGCACAGGGGAGAATGTGATTTTCATTTCTGATTTCGAGAGTTCACCTTCAGTTGATGTAGCAGTGTCGATTTAAAAAAAAAAAAAAAAAAGGCCAACAACAACAAAAAACCAAAATGTTCTGTTTTAAGGTGGGGTTTTATCTGATAATCCTGCTTAATTGTTGTATGGGAACTGCTGAGTCACAGCCTGAACCTCTGATGGATCACCTGAGGCGAGCCATGAGTCAGCCACAGGAGCACAGCTGAAGGCAATTCACCTGTGCTGCAGGAAGGGGTGGAGCCTGGCTGCACCCCTCCTAGACCCATTTAAGAGCTGGCTGCCAGTGGGGAAGGATCTCTTCTGGAGATCTGCTCTGCTGGTGTTTTGTGAGTGAGCCCAGGATAGGGGTAAGCCTTCTGTTTATTCTCTTTTGTTATCATAGTCTGTTTTGCCTAACTGTCTTGTTTATTTTGTGATTATAACATCCTAAGATTCCCTGATTATACAATTGCTATCACTGTTTTCACGTTCTTTAACTTTTTTTTACTGCTGTGTTTATTTTTCAAAGGCTATGTAGATGATATTGTGACTGTATTAGCTGAAGAACACGGTTGCCTTGATATTATTAAGGTTTGTGAAACTAGTTTACTCTTCCATGCTATCTTACCCAAAACTCATTATTATTGTTGGATTTCGTATGATATGAAATATATAATATGTATGTGTATCTCTGTCTATTTCATGTATGCAGAAAATATACTATGTAAGAAATTTTTGTTTATACTTGCTCATACGTAAATAAGCTTTTCTTTCCAACATGAAATAATTAATCTGTTTTTATAATGATTTATATAAATATATTAAAATATTGTTATCAGTAAAAAGAGTAAAGTATAAATAGTAAAGTAAAAAATAATTGCAATATTGCAATTATGTACATACAGACGCACGTATTTTACAAAACGAAACTGGTTTAATTACTTGAATGCAGTTGCAATAGACTGCAATGCATATGTAAGATCCTTTCAAGCACCCAGTGCCGGTAATGTTCATTTTTTCCTAAACTTATCATCAGTTGAAGTTTTAATCTTGCTGATTATTCACAAAGTTGTTAATTGTCTTTAAAATGCTCCAGGTTAATTTTCTTTCTATACAGCTCAGGTCCTCCCCATCCATAAAGTTAATCACTGAATTTTGGTGTCTGTTTTGAATGTTTTGAAACACTGTGCAAAAAGGATTGACTGTTACTAGAAGGGAGTTCCCAAGAATTGCCTTATTTCAAGCCGGATACAGGATGTCTGGATTAAAAAATGAAAATAAGTGTCTGGATACGTTGCTAATTCTCCAGACTTTTTCCCCTCTAGTCAATATAGGGGGCAGAATTGGTTCCCCACACCATTTTGGTCTTGCACAGCTGACCATGTGTGAGCATGAAGTTTTATTGCTTTCAAAGACAAGTCTGTATATGGAAAGCTAAGTATGAGTTCAGCGGCTTGCTGAATTAGGGCAGAAATGAATGGACCTCCTCCATATTTTTTCTTATGTTCCAGGATCTTTCTGAAAATGTCATAACTCTGCTGAAAAAATGCCTTACGTTCCAACCTTCTATGAGGTAAGTATTCAATCCGAATGCTTAATGAACTCCAGTAGAGTAAGAAGACCAGTTGCTGAATGTTTTTTGAAATACCAATGGCTTCTATTATGTGTAATAGATAGCTAGTTGGTTTTAGTACTTTGCAGTATTTGAAAGAAGTGGTTTTGGAAGAAAAAAAAAAAAAAAAAAAAAAAATCAAATGCACAAATCTTTGAGATTGTTGCAGAGTACTTTGGTGGGAAAGCTCTTCAGTCACATTCAGTTTTAGATTTCTCAGCTTTAATGCTTCCGTTTCTGGATGTTCATGAGACTTGCGACTTCCTTCAAATCTCTTCTTCCAAAGTACTTTTTTGTTATGACAATCCACCACAGTTTTCATCTGAAAGCTGTAGTAGGCTTCCGTTCTTCAATCGAAGCTTTGCACTTTTTTCCATATTTGCTTAGAGAAATAAAAAAATATTCGTTTTACATGAAATATCAAGCTAGGGCATAAACAGACTGCAGCACATTACAAGTTACGAGTGGAACAAAATTACCAGGTTTCTTTGCTTAAAAAAAAAAAAAAATTCTGAAGTTTGACATAACTTACTAGTATTTTACAACTGTTTGTTACTGAAAGCAAGCTCTTCTTGTAAGTGCTTTACTCTTAATGTTGTATTATCTTCTCTTAAGGCCAACTCCAGAGGAATTGATGCGTGACTGTTTGTTCAGTGAAGTATCTTTGGCATACCCTCCCTTTCACAAACCTGCTGGACTGTTCTCGTCCTCTCCAAGGTGTGCTGACTTAACGCTGCCTGAAGACATAAGTCAGTTATGCAAAGGTAAAAGCAGATAGTGGGATAAATGTCATTGGATGGGGAAGGAATATACAACATCCTTGCTTTTTCTTCGAATGCATTATAAACTATTATATAGTTTAATATTCCATTCTCGTAGTAGATTGTTTAATGGGCGAAGATAGAGGCAAACATATTTAGAAGGGGTGTGTTCAAATCAAGGATGGTATCTGGATTTTCATGCTTTTGTCTCAAGGAATGAAAAGTTATTGTTAGTATTTGAGTTTATGTTGAGATACCTGTATCATCATCTGCCTTTGTAATTTGGATGTGTACAAGGTACTGATTTTTCCCCCCCTCCGTGATGTATTGTCAATTAGAAGCTGAATTCTGTTAAGTAATAGGAAGAGATTATTTTTGAAAGTACTGGCAAACTAAATTCTTATGGAAGAGGTTGTATTCTAGTATAGAACATATTTAGAATTTTTTGAGTTTAAAACTGGAGTATGCTGAAAGTTTTAACTCCTCATTTTGAACTCTGAGATAGATACATATTTAGCAAATCTCGTTGTAAAGTTTTCGGGGACTGAAACTTTGTATCTTCTTAGAAAGTAATTGGTCCATGAAGGAAAGACATTGTAACTACTCTGTGCGAGTCATCAGTTTCCTTGCGCTCTTAGCACTGTTGTGAACAAAATAATGTGGGCTTTCTGTTTGAGGGGGAGAAAAACTCAAACATGCAGAAAGCAGAAGTCCATCCTTCAACTTATTTATCTGATTATTTCTATTTTGGGGCATAAAGGAAACTGCAAACTGTTCCGTTTTTTTTTTTTTTCTGATGCATTCTGTAAAACTCCCTGCAAAGAGAGGATCACCTTTCCTTCTAACTTCGCATTATGGTCTAGAACCTCTCCAGTGTAGTAACTTCAGCAAGATTTGTTCAGAGCGATAAGAAGAAATACAAGCTGCCTAAAAAGCTGTAATTTATATTTTATGGGTTTTTTTTCCTTGTAGATGAAGATAATGATTACTTAGCAGAAAGATCAATTGAAGAGGTTTATTATCTCTGGTGTCTGGCTGGAGGAGACTTAGAGAAAGAACTTGTCAACAAGGAAATCATTCGATCAAAGCCACCTATCTGCACGCTTCCCAAGTAAGAAAAGAGAAGCATTTAAGGGAAGGAGGATGTATGGAGAAGTGATTGTGAAAGAATGTTTTGATTTGGTTTTTGGTTTCGACACCTGTGTACATTTTTAAAAACATTTAAAACAACATTCTTAAACAGCAGAAAATCACTTTACATCTCTTCTTAATCAATTTAAGGCATTATTTGAACACTTCGTGTTTGTTACTTATGTGCTTTTCACATTGCTTTCTGAAATCAAAAAAAAAAAAAGGTTAAGTTCTGAACAATGAACAGGAAGATCCTAAATTTAGCATCTTTTCCATCATCGTTGAACTTTGATTTAAAATAAAAAAGTCGCACTATGTACTCATAGTAATTCATTCTGTAGCAAATTCTCACCCTTGGAGTTCCATTTCACAGAGCATCAGTGCTGAATGGTCATTCATTTCTTCAGCAGATCAGCTGGTTTATGTTTGTGTTTTTCTTTTAAATGCACAGTTTTAAAAATTGTAGTGCTGTTACAAAATTACTACTTTTATCTTCCTGCTGCACATGTTGCAATTTGATGCAACACTTTTAAATACTTCGATACCTTAATCCTCTAGTCTGATTTTTAACAAACAGAGTTATGTGTTCATAAAGATAAATTTGCTGGGTCTGGGAATTAAAATCGCATAAAAATAGCCAGAGTGCAGTATCTGGGGGTAGAAAAAATTAAGAGCTTGATCTTCAGTGATCACATGATAGCAAATGTAGTGTGACATTTTGAGGTATTGCCCGTTCTGTCCACTTAGGTGAAAGCTTGGCTTTCTGATTTCTGTGGGGATAACAGTTTTAATTATGTAAGTATTAAGAAGATGAAATGTCCATTTAAAAATGTAATCTTACTCTATCTTTTAAGTCATCCTGAGCATTTTAGCATAACTTGAAGAGATGAATTTGCTGTCTGCTTTAAAATAACACCAAGCAGGCAACCTGTATATACTCTTTCTTGGTTGCATTTGTTAGTCCCCTTAAGGTCTGGGATTATTATTTTTTTTTTTTTTAAATTTGTGGGAAGTGGCTTTTAAATGACAGTGCTATTTTATTTTTTGGGTCTCACATTAAGTGGCAGTCGTAGTCTCTGCCAGTTCAAGAAATAAAAGGAGTATTAATCCCGTATCTCATTAGTCTTCCTTTGTGTGCAAACTAGAGTTGTGGAAAACCTGAAGTGTGCAGTTTTAGACAGAAGCTGTTTAAATAATTTAAGGTGATTGTACATTCCATTGAGAGCAGGTTTCATGCCTTGCAGAATCAATGTGTTATACTTCTAAGAGCTAGTGTTCTGTTTTAAAGAAGAAACTGATTGATGTTAGATATTTATTTATTTATTTTTCCCGACTCAAATCTTATGTTATAAAATGACCTGAATTTTTTTTTTCCTTTCGTTTTGAAGCTTTGTGTTGGAAGATGGTGAAAGCTTTGGGCAAGGACGAGATAGAAGTTCCCTTCTAGATGACACAACTGTGACTTTGTCTCTGTGCCAGCTCCGAAATGTAAGTGAAACTCTGTGTGCAGGTGCATATGTCCTTGCTGTGGAAACATTTGTTTAAAGGGAATATGGAACAGCAGCTCCTACTTCTGCTCCTACAAAGGGACAGTGTTACTGATCCTCAGAAAACTCCCTGGTGTTTGAGGCCAATTCTGATTTACGCTATCAAATTGCATTTCCCATAAAAGCTTACTAAATTTGATTAATGTTCCCATCCTCCATCCCCATATTTTTACTACCTGCTTTTTTCTGGTGAAGCTGCAATACTTTGGCAGTACCTGCATGATTGCTGAACTGCCTGGCACAGTGAGTTCTTTTATTCCTGTAGGTGGCTCACGGTATTCAGAAGAAAGAACAGCTCAATTCAGTTGCAGCTCCTTAATATCTGTATCCTTGGAGCTGAATGCCAAACTTTCAGTAGTTTACTGCTAAGCTTTGGAATATATAGCTATTAATTTGTGTTTTACATTATGCAATGCCTATTTTAAAGGTAGCATACAGCACAGCTTCTAATTCTGTTCCTATAGAAGAGCAGCTTTTACAGCTTTCTTTTAGACTTTTTAATCTGTAGTTTTTTATACTGGTGCCTTCATGTATAAATGCAGCAGCAAATAAATGTGTACTGAGTTTTTATTTTGGGGAGGATACAAGTGAGAACCTTGTGATGTTAGATGAAATAAATTTTTGAAGTTAAGCACTTCTTCAAACAGCTTTCATGGAGCAGAGCATGATGCATGAAATCAAAAGAGGATCAGGTCTGAATGAACAGAGAACTGTTCTGTCACTCCCAGGAGGAGCAGCCTGTGTGCTGTATGCCTTTAAGTTAGAAATAGAACTGCAAAGCAGAATACTGCAGAGAGGATAATATTAAACATTAATCACAATGCAGCAAAGATATCTGAAAATTTCAGACAAGAGTCCAGGTATGCTTGTCTGTCACCTTCTCGGAGAGCGTCTGTAATTCTGCGCAGCTTTCAGATGCTGATACAAGAAGAAACTCAAATTTGAATAACTCTTGAGCTGATTAAAAAAAGTAAAAACCAAGTTCTGTAGTTGCTTTGCAGCTACTTAGATAGGAAGTCCATATGGAAAAACGAGGAAAAGAAGGAAGCAATGGTAATACTGTTGATCAATTAATTCATGGCCCATAAAAGCTTTTTCTGTGTGTGCAGAAAACAGGCTTTGTGCAGGAGACAAGAGAGTTCTCTTAAGATAGAATACATTCCATGATGTCTGAAGAAAATAAGATAGTCTGTACTAGGAACTTTTCCTAGTCTTAAAGGTTGTACGTTTCCTTATTGATTGAGAACTGAGCTAATGCTTAGGTGTCAGGGTGAACCATTGAACTTAGAAGTGAATTGCAAATTAATTGTTTTCAGATTCCACTAAATTTTCCACATGGTTTTTGAGCAGCATTCTGATAATGAATTGTCTTTATTGTCCATTTCAGAGACTGAAGGATGTTGGTGGGGAAGCATTTTATCCGTTACTTGAAGATGAGTAAGTGTGTATAAATTTGTTCCCATCTAAGTGACCAAATGTAGTTTTGAGTAGCACAATGCACAGCAAGACAGCTGTCTTCCAAGAGCAAACCTTACATGTCCTTGTTTGGCCCTTAAAATCAGTGAGAGCTGATAGGTGCTCTGTACTGGTGAACTTAGGGCCCTGAATCCAAACTTACATTTTTAACCTCTTTCGACATGCTGTCAGTCAGCTGTTTGTGCTGAATATTTAAAATGATCCATTTATACTTCTAACTCAAAAATGCATTGCTGAATATTTATTTTGCACTTTGAATTGTATATTTTGCTCTTTACTACTACAATCCTAATTCTTTTCCCAGCCAGTCAACTTTACCTCATTCAAATAGTAGCAGTGAGCTGTCTGCAGCTGCCAATCTACCTCTGATCATCCGGGAGAGGGACACAGAGTATCAGCTAAACAGAATTGTTCTGTTTGACAGACTGTTGAAGGTATGAAATCTCTCTGTTGGTTAATTGGATTTGGTTTGCTAATTAGAGGGTATTTGAAGGACAGAATAGTTGAAAAAGAAGCAGAGATGAAAGCAACAGCAGTGGAGAAGGGAGAGAAAACTCTTACAAAAGTCTAAGAGATTAAAAATATGAGAGCTGCTGCTAAGAACTGTTTACTCAAGAAACTAATTCTGTATCCTTTACTCATTACTAATCTATTATAGGTATAAATATACCAGCATCATCTTTGCACTTCCAAGCAGTAAGGTTCTTGAAAACAGTATGGCTATTTACTGTAATGATACCATGATAGAAACGTGGGTTTTACTTTAAGGGGGTTAAAATACCAAACCCTAATTTACACGTATGGAAAAAGATGAATTCGTGGTGAGGAATGAAAGAGGGCTGATGTGTTAATAGGTGCAGTACTTAAGGAAGCATAAGCTATAAATGTCAAACTAAAGAAAGTTGGATAATTATAATGATAAGAAACATATAATGAAAAAACCCACACCAATTTTAATGATTTGGATTGCTATATTTATATGTTCAATGTATACCAAAATATATGAATGCATTCGTGTGGAGCAGTGGATATTTCAGTATCTAACAGTCATCTGCCATCTAGGTCTTCCAGTTAGGAATGAATGAAACTTGCTTGAAACAAAACTTGCAATCACTGTCTAACTGACAGATTTTTTTCCTCTGAAGAAACCACCTTCCCAGAGTTGGGATTAGATTTGTTTCAGTTAAAAGGTAATGTTTTTGCTATTAATCTCTTCTTTTTGAAGGCCTACCCTTATAAGAAAAACCAAATCTGGAAAGAAGCCAGAGTTGACATCCCTCCTCTTCTGAGAGGCATGACCTGGGCTGCTCTGTTGGGTGTTGAGGTAAGGGTGATTGGAGGCCATTTGCAGAAATCCCATTATTGACTGAGAAAGGAATTGGGTAGGAATAGAATGGACAGGGAAGCTGGAAAGAAAGTGAAGTTTGGCATTAGAATTAGTGCAGATTGAAACAAAGGGATGCATGAAATCGTATGAACTAAAACACAGTATTCAGACTCATTCCTGATTCTGATATTTGGTGTCAGAGAACATTGGCTTTGATTGACTTTATATTTAATTTGATTAGGGAATAAAAAAAATAGTGCACATCCACTAAAATTTTGCTATGGTGTGTAAATACAACTGCTGCTTAACTTTTTTTGGTTTTTAAAGTTATTTTTGATAAATGCAGTTGCAGTCTTCTGCCTCAACAAGCAAAAGCTGGGTAACAGTGTAAAATGTAGCAAATGTATTTTATTTCATTATTATCCAATACATGTCTTCCAAAGATTGGAGGAAAAATAAATGACATGAAATCCTTCAGGACAAAGGGCTAGAAAGGACTGTCCTAGACATTGTCCTTGAAATGGGGACCCCTCTTACTTGATATGAATTACGTGATGACAACCTGACTTTTGCATCTGTTCTGCTTGTAATCCTCAGTCATGCAGCAAAGAGGTTCTTACAGGTTACACATTGTGAGTTTTAGGATGTAGCTTAGGATGTGAACTTCTGAGTATCTTCGTATGACACAAAAAACCGTAAGGAAAAGAGTAACTGGTGGTCAAGAGTGTGTCTTGGGAAGTGAGTTCACTTACTTCATCAACTTAGTATCTGTACAATGAGGGCAGTCCCATAACCTTAAGATGCACTTGTTAGAATACTTCCCTTGGTATTTAGACAAGAACTGGCTGTTTAAGAGTAGTGTATGTTGGTAGTATCAGTATTTAATTAATAGGCAGCCTTTTCACAGATGATGCTGAAACTTGACAGCAGCAGAGGTATACTTTGAATTTAAATTGATAGTTTCTGTTAACTTAAAAATGGAAAACTGGATCCTTGCTTTATAAGCCAAAGAAAGTGACTGAAGATAGTGGGAATACCATTGAAAGTTCTGTATATCCTGAGTTACACTTGAATGAAGAAGATTTTGTTAAAATTCAGCATTGAGAAATTCTCTGTTTGGGAAATGCACTAAAATATGTATTCAGAAAAAAAGTTAATAGCTGGAACATTTGATAAAAACAGCTTTTGTATATAGGTATGTACATTACAATATGCTGTTACATTAGTAAGGGCTTTCTATTTTGAAATATTCTTCCACATTTAGGGTGCCATTCAAGCAAAATATGATGCCATTGATAAAGACACACCGATTCCTACAGACAGACAAGTAAGACCTCCAGTTTTTACCGAATACTGTTGCCTGAAGTAAATCAAAGATCTTTTCAACCTGTGGGTATCATTTTGTCTATTACAGCAGATGTGGTTGATAATAGTAGAAGGTTTCCCCTGCCCTCTAAGCTTTCTCGTGCTGTTGCAAGAATCTTGCAAAACAGTTTGGGATCATTAGTTTAACTCAAATTAGGTTATAACCTCTGAGCAAAAATCTTATTTCAGAATCATGTTTCTGTTGCAACAGCAAGCAGTTTAATAAGCAGTATTACTGGTGTGTTGTTACATGTTCTGTCTTTATCAATTCTTTTTTTGGGCCCTTGGACCTGATGCCAGATAGCGTCAAGTACACTGACATTCTGAACAGTAAGATGAACTGTACAGAAATGGGTTCTTGAGCCATTAAATTCTCCAAGAAGTACTACCAAATGTAAATAATCTTCACAAGGAACAGCTGTTCCGTCAGATGGCTGAATTAAATAGATTCTATCAAGTTTTCTGAGGTCTCTGATTATATTATCCTGTAGGAAAAAAAGGGGTGCTAGCACCTGAAACTAGCGCATAAGTTGAATTAGAAAATACTACAGTTGTAATCTGCTGTTGTTTTGTTTTTAGAAAGTCTGCTTTTATTTATTTAAAAGCCTTCTTTTAAAAGCAGCTGTTAGAGCCCTGTCCCAGTTCAGTTACTGATCTGAGAGCAGTGGGTGAAACAGACTGATTTTGATGATGATGATCTGACTTCGGTTGTCTGGCTAACTTCCACCACTGCCATCTGTATTATTACACAACTGCTGTAGTACTATTTCATTTACCCTGGTTTCTCTCTACGTTGTGTATTCGACTGTGATACAGATTGAAGTTGATATTCCTCGTTGCCATCAGTATGACGAATTGCTGTCATCACCTGAGGGTCATGCGAAGTTTAGACGTGTATTGAAGGCCTGGGTTGTTTCCCATCCTGATTTGGTATACTGGCAAGGTGGGTTTGAGTAATTAGCAAGACATTAATGGGAAAGCTATGTCTAAAAAAAACAACCAAACAAAAATCTTACTTGGAGGACTTCCTTTTCCTCTCTTTTGAAGAATGAATAGGTAAATTACTGAAAATGTAGTTCCTAGTGATTTAATTTGTAATGCCAAATTGACTGCCTCTTCCATATGCTCTTCAGAAATTTTGATCATTTCAAAAAAAAAAAAAAAAAAAAAGAGGAGTCTGTTTCTTTCTGCTGATCAGTTCAAAGATAGTGCTGCAGGAGTTATTGGGCAATTTCATAGGACTCATTGGATTTCTTGAAAACCGTGACAGAATAGTCAATTCAGCACTATCATTTTAACAAGTGTAAATCCTCTTTGTTTGCATGTGTTGATTACATACTTGTTCTCTGCATTGTGTGCAGCCTGGCATTGCAGGTGTTACAAAAGTATACAAAATGTCACGGTTAAGTTATTGTGTTGAATAAGACAAATTCATTAAATGAGATCTTTATGACATTTCTTCATGGCTCTTCCCTCTTTAGGCCTCGATTCTCTTTGTGCACCATTCCTATACTTGAACTTTAACAATGAAGGTGAGCACTTTTTTCTGCTGGGAGTGAGGGGAAGCACAACCTGTTCATCTTAGTTGTCTGCGGATATTTGTGCACCACATATTTATGAAAGAATTCTGTAACTGAAAGGGAGTTTTGAAGCTAATTTTGCTATGACTCAAAAGAAGTGATCACAAATAGCTATATAAAAACATGCATATATAAAAGATATGCGTATTTAGTACTTCTGCTTCTCAGTGCAGCTCTGGATTAGCCTTTGGTAATGTGAATGTATTTTTTGTTAACCTATCATAACCATTAACCGTACAGATGAGCAGTATTCAGAAATTTGGTGTTGGTCTTAAGTGTCTAAAAGGTAATCAGAGATCAGCTTTGGACTGTGATTTCTTCAGAACAGGCCTAGTCCAACTTTCTATGCTCTTGTACACAACTTTTTCATAACATGTTTGGGTGAAAGACAGTTTTTCAGGACAGTAACTCGTACAGTGGGCCTACTGTGCACCTTTACATATTTCTATCAACAGGTCCCGAACACATCCGTATTGTTTGATTCTGTCACCGTTTTGTGGGTTTTTTTTTGTTTTTTTTTTTTTAATTGAAGCAAAGTATGGTAGTGAAAAATTCAATTCCTTGTGACCTGGTTTATGAATTTAATTGAATACAGATAATGGTGGTTTCAATGCCAGAAAATTTGCAAACTTGAATTCATTTCTAAGGAATGCAATAAATATGATGCTTTGCTTATCATTTCCAAAATGATAAACAATTTATTACAGTTTCCATTCTATCTCTTACTAAGACGACTTATCCAATCAGTGGTTTAACAACATGGCTAAGAGTTGTATTAAAATAGGTAGACTATCTCTCAGCCAAATTCTTAGAAATTAATGAAGGGCTAAACATTATGTTCTTATCCTCTAATCTCTACATGGTATGTTTGTGAAGAGCCGCTGAGAAATGTTTTAATAGTGTTCCACTGTTGGTTTCCTGTGAATTCTGTCTTCAGACTCTGAGCTGAAGAAGGGGACCAGATAAGAGTCTCTGGGGATGTAGACTGGGCCTAAATTCTAGGGGAGAAAACGGAAGAATGCAACAATGCAGTTGTCTGAAACTGTATCTTCAAAAGCTTTGTTCCATCAGGGAGCTTCCCTTTTCAATACAAACATCACTATGGCTTTGTCACTGTATGGGAAGTGCTGAGTCACAGCCTGAACCTCTGATGGATCACCTGAGGCGAGCCATGAGTCAGCCATGGGAGCACAGCTGAAGGCAATTCACCTGTGCTGCAGGAAAGGGTGGAGCCTGGCTGCACCCCTCCTAGACCTATTTAAGAGCTGGCTGCCAGTGGGGAAGGATCTCTCCTGGAGATCTGCTCTGCTGGTGTTTTGTGAGTGAGCCCAGGATAAGGGTAAGCTTTCTGTTTATTCTCTCTTGTTATCATAGTCTGTTTTGCCTAACTGTCTTGTTTATTTTGTGATTGTAACATCCTAATATTCTTTGATTATACAGTCACTAAGAATTATGGAAAGAAATTGGGAACAAAGAGCGTCCAACCAGATTTGTCTTGTTTACTTAAGTGATAATAGAAGCTTTTAAAATTCATTAGAGAGCGTTGTGCACTTCCTATGTTCCTTTACAATCATTTTTCTTTATGGTTTGATTTTAATATATGTGTCTTTTATCTGCTTAATAATAAGCACTTGTATTTCTATCTCTGCATTTGTTTTTTCTAATTTTTTTCAGCTCTGGCATATGCTTGCATGTCTGCTTTTATACCTAAGTATTTGTATAACTTCTTTCTGAAGGATAATTCTCATGTTATCCAAGGTAAGTGCCTTTAATTTTTTTATTTGTTCTAAGGGGGCTTGAATTAAGTCAGCATTTATAAATACACTTTTTCAAGTGGTTATAAACGAGGAACGTGCTGTCGAAATATTCATCTATGTATTTCAGAAGGCTTATGTGAGATTAAAAAGAAAAACAAAAAGCAAAAAGCAACACCAACTGTGCAAGGAAAGTAGGAACAAGATAAGCAGGTAAATGCTTGGGCTTAGAACAATGTTGTTTGCGCAGGGAGGTTGAAAAAAAAAAAGAAAAAGCTCCATTTGTTTCCAAGTTGAGCATCAATTGATTTTGCGAAGTTATAAGGTGAGGAGAAGGTCCTTGCAATGCTATATGATTAAAAACTGAACAGCAGGATTTTAATCATATGAATGTTACAGGAGCTGTCTTTACAGTGAGGGACAGTAAAGAGCAGGAACAGTACAAGTTCGAAACTCCCCAGAAATTGGTGTTCAGTTACTTGGAGACTAGAGAGGAATTTCTTATTGAAGAGAATACAGGACAGGATTTGGTATCCATGAGGAAAAATGTTGCATAATTGGGTCTTCAACAGCTCTGCAGGCGTCTCAGAGAAGTCCAAACAATTCCTGGGAGATAAATGTCTGTTCTACCTAAAAATTAATTGTAAATATCAAGAAGATACAGTGAAGGAGTTTTCTGGAACTGTTAACTCACCTTGCTACTGTCTGTGTTGGTTAGATAATTAGTCTTGTAAACAATTGTTAAGAACAGAAAGAATCTGTTTGAAAAGCTGTGGCTTTATCTTTCCAAGTTAAAGCAAGTTAAGTGGATGTCAAACTCTGAAGGAGGTTCCTAATGTTTATTGCAACTTACCTTGAGGACTTGGGCATCTTTTTCCTTCAAGTATTATTTGCAGTAGGTCTGTGACTTGTTCCCTTTGTGTTCTTACAATGGGAATATTGTTTCTCAGTTCTCTTGAGATAGCATCACAGCTTTTAACATTTCTAAACCTAATATAATTATTCTACAGAATGATTGTTCTTAACTTTGTATGCTCAAAACTGGAAGCAGAGTAACATTCCCTGTCTGTCCTCCTTCACTCAGCTTGATGTCTGAGCCCTAATTACTCTGTGCTTGAGAGCATAGAGAAAAAGCAATTGCCATCTGTTTTGAAATTGCAGTGTTACTGACTCTTCATCTTCCTTCTAACAAGGCACATCACAATAGGAACAAAACTAAGAGGTTAGAATAAATAGAGAAGTCTGTCAGTGTCTCTGTTCTGTTGTCTGTTTCTGTTCCAATTAAAAGCAAGCATTAATTAGACAACTTAATTAAATTGTACCCTTCAGCATGATGTGCTGTGCTGACGATCTTATTACATTTTATCTTTACAGTAAGTATTTTCCCCTTTATTCCAGAGAAAACAAATTAAGAGGTTACTGATGATGCAGGTGCTACCTTAAAACCTCATTGACTTCTGGATGACAAAATTTAACTATTGAAAATAAATACAATTGTTGCAATCAAGGAGTATTTCACTCAGTTTGGGTCTTAAAATTCTTGAAATATTCTTGTTCTAACTTCCATCAATATCTTGTGGCTTGTATTCACACAAAAAGTCTAAATTTTTTTTAAGAATGTGCCCTTTCTTTCCTACAGCTACTATACAAAACAACAGGATGTTCTGGCTTGTGTTTTTGACAGTGATCTTGAATTTGTTTGTTATTTCAGAGTATCTAACGGTGTTTTCTCAGATGATTGCATTCCATGATCCAGAGCTGAGCAACCACCTTAATGAAATTGGTTTCATTCCTGATGTAAGTGCTGAGCATTCTTATAAATAGTAAAGTAAATCAAAGTAAAAGAAGGAAAAATTAGCACAGTTAGGATGAGATGCTTTGCAAAACTGTCTTGGCAGCAGTTTACCTGGAGATTTGCTTATTAATGAGATTTTCTGGATATGCTGTTAAAATGGTTAAGTATTGATTATTGTTTTAGGTACCTCAGTCCTTGCCCTTTTGTTATCATGGTACAATACAAATATCACTAATAAGTAGTTTTAACTTAGATTGACCTCAAAATGTATATGTAATTTGTTTTAAAAAATTTGGACTAGTATACAAAGAAGAACGTGGCTGAGAATGGCTAATAGAAATTTTTCTACCATCTAATTAAATGCAGTTGTTTAACTCAACAGACACATTGATTTGCAAATAATACGAAAAGCATGTGCAAGAGATGGTTAATTTGTAGTTATGTCAGATTCTGGAAAATGCTTAGCAATCACTTGTTGGAATCTATCAAAAACATTGGAAAGATTATAGCTTGTATGCAGGTTTTATCCCTTCATTTAAGGTGGAGAAAAGTGGAAACTGTGGCCATATCCAAAATGTAGTAGAGAGGGCTATAATGAAAAAAATAAAACAAGGCCTTCTTTATAGGGCCCCGCTTTTATCTATTGTAGTAAACAGGGAAACTTTTTTATCCTTCATTCAGAGCCATGTATAGTCTAGAAAGCCAGCATAATGCTCTCAGGTGGGAAGGCCAAGCCTATGAAAATAATTTCTTGCACGCAATTTCTGGGTAAACTTGCTTCAGAATGGGCTGATGCTCATTAGTACTGTTTGCAGAGATTGTAATGGGAAGAAAACGTATATACCTTTCACTTCTAAAGGCCTTTGTGATGTAATAATGTTTATAATATAAATGTAAAAGTTACTGTGGCATTTAAAGAAGCAAAAGCAAAACCCAATGTATTGCGATATAATCTGAGGTGTTTAGAAGCTGCATGTACTGCTAATAATCCACACGTGAGGAGGGAAAGGCTGAAGATGAGAGAATGGTGGGGAGTTGGGAGGATATTCACATCTTGAAAGCATGTGAATTTGAGGGCAGAATAAAGGACGTGGGTAAGTTACTGGGGGAGAATCAAGTTTGCAGCATCACCTGCAAATGTAAATGCACCTGATGTTTATTTGCTCTAATAAAATTTCAAAATGCAAGTCAGATGGAGTAGTTAAAAATCACCTTTTTGGGTATATTTTGTATTTTGTTTCAGGGTGGCTGTTAGACAGCATGTAGTCAAATGTGAGCCTTGTATCCTAAGTGTTATAGCTTAGAAGAGGGTATGAGTGGGTAATGCAACAAATAATTGCAAAACAGGAGTACGATTAAAAATAAAAATGAAGAATTCTACATTTGAATACCAATGCTAATTCTAAAATTAACACTAACCTCTGAAGAGAAGTTGTCCTTTCTAAATCCTGTCATTGAAAAAGAAAAGTTGTTTTGCCTTCCAGATTATTGGGAGAGGGTTTTTTGTACCTCTTACTGCACAGGATCTGTCAAGGTGAAGGATATGCACTTTGGTAATGAGATCTGAACCTGAGTTTTGTGCTTGAGTACTAATCCTATCAAAGTAAACTCTGATTAATCTTTCATCATCGAAATGCAGGCTCCTGCTGCAGGAAAGATTGTGTTTCCTGGCACCCTTCCCATTTGCTTTGGGTCATGTAGCTCTTAGAATATTGAACAGTACTGAAACTCCAATAATTGTGAATATTGTTAGCTGATGTGATGCCTGGATTAAGTACATTGCAGTGGCTTGTGTGATTTATGTGTAAATAGAGAGCTAGGTATGGTGAATCTTTTAGTTCTTTGCTCGCTCTCCCGCAGCTGATAATCTCCACCGCTCTGTATGATATTTTATAGTCTCTGTTCTATATTCTACTGAATAATTCTGACATACAAAGCAGACTATTTTAAATAAGAAAAAAATGCTACTTTACTAAAAGGGTAGCTGTAGGCATAAATTATTGTAAATAGCTTTCACCTGCCAATTATGGCTGCTAGGTGCAGTTGTTAGCAGGCCAGTGAAGGAGATGACAAAATCTGGTTGCAGTTGCTTAATAAGCTGCTGTCTCAGGCTTAGTTTTCCTTTGGTGATGTGCAGGAGGTGCTGTTAGTATGGCTTCACGTAATGGAACTGAAAATCCCGTGATTGAAGTACTTCATCTCCATTTGTCTCTTCTGTTACTGTTAGCTAGTGGTGAATGTAGGGGAGAGATTTTTTTGCTTGTATTTTGATCTTACAAGAAAAGTGATCGTTCTTCAAATTCTGCATAGGTGTGTGTAGGTGGGTAGAATCTAAATTTAGAAATTGGTCTCAAATTGCATTACTTTGGCATCCCTATACGTCAAAACATTTATGTGCCTTTCTGTAGCAGTTGAACATAGAATTATCTAATAGGCTTGAGGTATGTTGCATGCATTGTGAAGGCAGAACCCTTCAATGAAATGAAGAGCGTTTTATTCCTTATAAGCATATAGTAAAATAAATGTTATGTACTCACATAGTAAACATGAAATATGTTGGCATCTTCAGTGCTTTGGAAATTCAGATCTTCAGTATTAAATAATTTCTTTTCTTGGTCTTGAAACTACATGCATAGTTTCACAATAGCTTTCTTACCATGTTCATAACATGCTCCTGGATTGTGGCCTGCAAGTAGGCCACGTTATTGTTACAGACTTTCAAAAGAGTAAGAGACTTGTGGTTATTTCTGAATGCTCTCTAGGATCTCCTCCAACAAATACTAGTGTGCGTTTTTGCCTTGCTTGCTCTTCTGAATTGTCTTTAGAAACAAAAGCCTCTCAACCTGAAGTCTTTGAAACTATTGCCTTTACAGCAGAAATCTCATCTTCTATGGATAAAAACATGTAAAGCTCATTTTCCAGAGGAGGAGTCAAAGAATGAAATAATGCAGAGAGAAATAACAGTAATTTATCATGGAAAAGGCTTTCATTGGGATTTGAGGAGGTTTGAGTTTCTAGTTCAGAAATAGATTGTTTACCTACAGTTATGATCTAACTTCACTCTGTTGAAAATCTCTGGACTGAGTCTTCAAGCTCTGATTTTAAGCAGTTTGTCATAGCAGCACGCTACTGGAGCTTCAGCTAGGGTTAATGGAAAAAACTGAGAATGAAACAAAGTGGGAGGAGAAGAGATTTCACTTTTAACTAAAAACTTTGTGATGGCTTTTATTCAAATTGTTCTTCGTATGTAAGAGATGTCCTGGTACTTAATTGAAAGTACCAAAGAACTCATATGTTAATAGCAAAGCAAAATGGTAATTACAGCACTGCTGATCTTAAGGTCGCTCTAAAAAAAGTGAAGTATTGACTTTAAAGGCTTTCATTTTAATCTGACTTTTTCCCAGTCTGTTCTAGTAGTTCAAATGCTGCTTTAAAAAACTCAGTGTGGTCAGGAAATATATGTGATGTTAAGTGTGAATGAAAGTCACAACCTTATTATGTGTCGGGGTTCTGTAGTAAAGAGTTGGAAACCTTTTTTTTTTTTTTTTTTTTTTTTTTTACTACAGAAGTATGGCAAAATGCTGTTCTTGCTAATGATCGCTAGAGGGCAGTATGTACTAATACTATATTGAAAATGCAGTCATTTCTCTAAAAATATTTTGTATCCTGTTTATTTGAGGACTTCGTGTCTTTGCAGTTGTTTTTCTCATTTTTGTTTTTTCAGTTTGACTTGCATGGTGAAATAATACTAATGTTGTCTCTACTTTGCTTTCTCAGTAATGTTAATCATAACCTCTTCGGGTTTGCCTAGACCTTCTTATCATAGAATATTACGTTTTTGAAAACAAGACAAGAAAATCTCAAAAAATGTTTACCTGATACCTTCTAACTTAAATAGTTTGACTTTTCATATTACCATTGATAGGTTTAGTAAGGATGATTTAGAGCGAAGAAGTGCTTTGCCTTGTAGTTACCTTTTAATAATATCTTCACTATTTCAGTTTTGGTGGCTCTTGTTGTATTTCTTCTATATGCATTCGAGATACAGATGTCTGTATGTGAAATTAGGAGCAAGCATGGAGCTGCTTAGGGTAAAACGTTGTAATCAGATGTATGAGAAGAGGAACATTAGGCTTATTTTTCTGCTATATGGCAAGCAGTATAATGCATACGGGTAAGCAGGTAAATGGGAATTTGTTGATTACAAATGTTATTCCACAGATAGACATATACTGAAAGTGTTGCGGAGATGTACCCAGGGTAACAGGAGTGTATAATGAATCTGAAATAATGGCATATAGTGATTTTTTTTTTTTTTTTTTTGAACCTTTAAAATGATTTGGAAGATTGTAGGCTAAGCAAAGTCTGTTCATCATAGCTTGTAGTTTTATGTGTAGTACAGTTTAGATGCTATTGGATACTCAAATGAAAGTGTGGAACTCAAAGTTAGAGAGCTGTGCTGGGGAACCTTTCTGCATGTTTGTGTGCGTCGTTTCATCAGTGCCAGAGTCCAGTTAGGAGTTGATGGAATAAGAAGTCATTTATTAACATAGTATCAATTATATTTTCTGCTGCTCATTTGCTTACTTTCAGGGCAAGCTTAATAGGAGTACTAATTTGCACTTTTTATGAGCTAAAATGTAATATATTAAGCTTTATGTCTAACTATAAATCTTCAGAAATGGAAAACAAAGCACATGAGCTGTGCAGCTGAATAAAATTTAACAAAGATAGACTTATTCTTGCATTCGTAATGTGTTGGGACTTTCTGTAGGGTGATGTTTGAAAATAGATTTTATTGCTTTCAACCCACTAAATGCTTCATTAAAGATTAAGAAACTTTAAAGGAGTCACAAATGACTATCTGTTCTAACACATTCTGAATGTTTTGTATGTGGTGTAGTAGGTATTCTGACGGAAAGCTTGCAGAAACTTTGTTTTCTGTAGCCATTACAGCAGCAGAAGTTAGACAGTCTCAGAGTAATATAAGTGGAACCTCAAATTCTTCAGATGGCACGTAGATACCATTCCTTTTTCTTTCGGAAGTTGTGATTTGCACTTTTATTTATTCATAATAAAAAATATTTTTTCTGAGTCAAAAAGGTACCTTGAATCAAGTTGTTTTATGCTTTATTCAGGCACTCTTCACTAATTTTTATTTAGCAGCATAGAGTAAGGGGAGAACTGTGGCAGTTTAAAGGAGCAGCTGGCCATGATGCTAATGGTCTTTGTTTTCACTAGAGGATCACAAAACAATAATGTGGAAGGGATGAGAATGGTGACTTGGGGTGAAAAACACTTCTTTTGATGCTCAGGGACATGATTTAGCAGAGGGTTGTTAGAGTAGTTTGGTTAGGTCGTGGTTGGACTTTTCCGAACTGAGTGATTCTATGATTCTGTTGTAGTAGTTTTGCCACTCCAGTTATTTCTTGTTTTAAATGTGTTAATGTAAAGCATTGCAATTTTTATTGCAATTAACAATTGACCTAAGCAAAAAACTTAGATCTTAAAAAAAACATTTTTTTTTTCTCTTCCCTCCTGCCATGCCCCACCTTTTGCAGCTCTATGCTATTCCGTGGTTTCTTACAATGTTTACACGTGAGTATACTTTTTTTTTTCCAATTAAATGTTAAATTTCTTAAGGGTAATTTTTCTCACTTTGTCGGATGAACCCTTCCTAATTGATGTGATACGTGTCATTTAAAAGGTCCTTTGTAATTTGCAGGGTGAACTTATGACGTGAGACTCAACAGTCCATGTCACGTTGTACTTTCTGCTCTTCCTTGAGCAGATAATTTCAGCTTTCTTATTTCTGAAAAAGAACTATATTAAATTTGAACTGGATTATGTTATGCATGTGGTACTTAAGAAAGGTGTAAGAATTGTAAATGTAAGAATTTATCTACTGGGTAAAATTACAATAATATTAAGATACACCTTCCCTCACTCTGCTAAGTTCAGAAATGTGGAACGTGGAATTTATTTATTTATTTTGTAAGGCCAGCAGAACATGCTTTATGTTGTTGCACTTTACCACGCTGTGGTATTTGTTCATGAATATTCGGAGCAAAAAGAGCTTTCTGATTTGGTGAGCTGTCAACAAAAGACATGGGAGTTAGTAAAGCAATTTGTGATTTTCTTTCCTCAAATACCTAATGTTTCTTCTTTTCATGTCAACATTAGCAGATTACTTCTCTGAAATATCAGAGGATGTGATGTGAGGTTCTCAATTGCATTTGACAGAGTTCTTGACTGTGAAGCACTGGCTGATGCAGTTGCCCATTCTTTGAAAAACCTGTTATGAGAATTGCTACCTCTGAAAAACTGAGGAGGTGGTTATCTTGGCAATGAATTAAAACAAAATGTTAGAACTTTGTAGTTGAAGGATAGTGTGTTTCAGGAGAGCTACCTTTTGACGTTATATTTCAAGTGGTGCTGTTTTTGTTAGGCCTTGATGCCTGTCTGTCTGTCTCATTCTGTCAGTTTTTGCTCTATTCTGCCCACTTCCTCATTTAGTTTTAAGTACCTGAGCTTATTGATTCGCTCATTAATGTCTTCATGCTGCTGGAAGTAACTGATACGTACTTCTTCATGCATAGTTATACTATACCAGAAGGAAAAGAAATTGCCTAATTTCATGTGTGTTTGAAATGTGAAAACCTATATACTTCAAAGCATTTAATAAAGAAAGAAAATACTGATTGTTTCTGGAATAGTCTGTCTATGTATGAAAATAAACCTGTACTTAAAAAGTTTTTCTTACCTGCTCTCAAATAAAAAAGAAATTTCCTTAGATAGGAGCGGAAAATGTGTATGACTGCCTAAGAGTGTTTATATTAATTTTGCTTTTTTGTGTGTGTATGTGTCTGTTCATTATGCAGATGTCTTTCCTTTGCATAAAATTTTTCACTTGTGGGATACATTATTGCTTGGAAATTCCTCCTTCCCATTCTGCATAGGGGTGGCTATACTTCAACAACTGAGGGATCGTCTTCTCGCAAATGGATTCAACGAATGCATTCTCCTTTTCTCAGACTTACCAGGTATAGAAGAAACTATTTTTCTTTTCTCTTTGTGCTTTCATCTGAATGTGTGCTACAAATCTTTCATGTGTTGAAATACTGTTAGATTTAGGTGAACTCCCTCTCCCTGTGTGTAGTGCCTACCTGCAACTTGACCAAGTTAGCAGAAATCCTTTTGCTGTCGTCACCAAGAATTGGGTAAGATCCCTGTCATTGCCTGGGGAAAGTTGCAACAGTTCCTTGTGAAATTTAGAGCAATCTTAAATAATTCATGAGCTACTGTTTGTAGACGTACTACATCGAGACAAAATGCAGATAGCAGGATCACTTAGTGAAAAAAAGTATTGGAGTTCTTAACTGTACCTTACCACTGATGCCGATACAAGCATGTTTTCCTTTAAAAAACAAAGTTCTGCTATGAGAACAGTTAATATTAAATTAATATATTATGAAAATCAGTGTAGGTGATGTTGGTGCTTTAAATCAGTTTGCGTTTGAAATGTATGGCTCTCAAAATAACCCTAAAAAGCCAGATGGAAGGCTACATGAGCACTGTTGTTGACTTATTAAATACAAGTACAAACAAGTGTTCCATCTGCTATTAAAAAAAAAGTAAATAAATTGCAGTTAACCGTCAAGTCTGGCTCTTACTCCTGGCCCATTCAAGTGTAAAATTGGGAATTAGCCTTAGTCTCCTAGAACATAAACTTTGAATTTTGCTGTAATTTCATTTCTTTAAGATAAACAGGCACTCTTCTAGGGTTTGTGCTGTAAGCCATTGTCTATACCCGTACTCGTAAGAGGGACAGAAACTACATGTATCACTGTGCAGAGGAGAAACTTAGTTTTCTTCATAAGTCAATCACGGTTCCAGATTTTAGGAGCAATAGCATCATTCATAATTTTGATGTGCTTTAGTAGTATTTATTTCTAACAATATTGTAGTGTTGTTCATATAGATTTCCTAATATTTGTCAAAATAATTGGCTAATTAGGATCATTATAAAATCCCTCTATTGTAATAATGTCTTAAAACCTGTTAAAAATGTCTTAAACCCTGTTGAGGATGCACAAAGGGGATATTTCAGCAACTGCAAACACTTAAAATTAAATTCTTTAGAACATTGTTACCTATTTGACGTGCAGGAGAAATAGGAATGGCACTACTGATATGGTGCCAACATGAGAAGCAGGACTCTGCTTTCAGACCAGTGCTGACCTCTACTGTTCGGTTGTGGCTGCATCTGCTGTATAAATTCTACAGCCTAGATGGCCATGCCATGCATTGAGGACTGGCTGCATAAGTAACTTTACTCCAAAATGTGCAATTTTTCTTATATATAATTGTTAAAATCTCAATGTTAGTCTGTGCTATTGAGTTGCATGATGTACATTATGATTATTCTAGCTTTGTTTGATTACTGAGTTTCTCACCCACTTTACCAGTCACTAGCAGCTAGCGTAAGTGACAAAGTCACTAGCATCTTCAGAGAAAACAGACCAAAGTATGAAGCATTCAGATATATACAGGCATTTGGAAATGGTTGGAGGATCGTGTAGACAAATTCACTGATTTGGTGCAGCGTAGGGTCTGGCAAGCAAGCAGACACTCTTCCAAATGTCCATGGAGTATAGAGTTAACTGAAACATGGAGATTTGTTTCAGATTTGAGAAAGGATGCACCGATGTAGATGATGGTGACATATGCTACAGAGAGTAAGTAAACGCAAAGCCCAGGCATGAGTCTAAACGTGCTGTCATACAAGTAGATATTGCAGGTTAGTTCATCTTTAAGGAATGAGGATTATTTGTGTTATTTCTACACACCTCAGGACAGTGTCTTTTTGCTGTCTTCAGGCTAGCAGTGCTTTTAGGGAAGAACCCAGCCTTAGAGCCCAGGAGAGCTAACAGTAGGAAAGAAATCTGGTACAACTAGAAGCTACAGTAAAACTGCTGAATTGGAAATGTAGAGAATTGTCTCTGTGAGTTACAGGCATGCGGGTTTAAGCTGCTACATGTGATCAAATATATAACTATGGGAACACCACAAAAATAAATGATTCTCCAAGGAGGAGTTTCAGTTATATCTTTCCATTGTAGCAATGTGCCAAAATGGTAACTCCGTGAAGGTGAAAATTGTATAAATGCTTAGAATGATTATATCCAGTTCAGGTATGGACTGAACACGGAAGAACAGTGGGAATTCTACACTGGCATTGTATTTTATATCGTTTTTGAGTGATGTCTTTAGATACATATCTGACCACTGGGTAGCTACTGTTTTACTTCTCATTGTTTTTGTTACGAAAATACATTTTCTACCCACACCTGCAATTCATACACCTTTATCTTGCCAAAATTTCTGGTGGTTCAGTGTTTGTTTACTTAAGAGTTGGCAGACAAAAGAAACTGCATTTGTCCACCTAGCCCACATTCAGCTTGTGGTTGCATGGTGCCTATTTCCACTAGTTTCACCACTTGTTGACTAACATTGTGAACTTTGAGGTTAAAAACTAACTCTGAATAGATGGGAAGAGATGCACAAAAATGTCTTCCATCTTTGAGAAATAGAAAAACCAAGGCAGTAAACTGCTTTGAATAAGTTTTGGCTTTTTGTCGTGCAGTTTTGACAACATTGTATGGCTCAGATTAAGGCTCTGGGGAAAAGAGGTCATTTTTCATAAATCCAACTAAATGTCAAAATATTGATGTGTGGCTTTGTTTTAGCTAGCCTAACTTCAAAACTGTTGTCCCTTATGGAAGGGGATGTTGGAAGTTGATTTATCATGGCATTAGTGAAGCTGATCTGCGTTTTCAAATTAGTTTGTATCTGAAGAGAAACCATTTGGTTTCTGTCACATGAGATGCATTATAGTGGTGCTGTAACCATAACAAAAAAAAAAAAAAAACAAAAAAAAAAAAAAAAAAAAACATTAAAAAAAACGAAAGGTAAAAAAATAAAAAAAAAAAAAAAAGTTTAAAAAATTGCTTTTCAGTTTTTTCTTTTTTTTTTGTTTTAAAGGTGTAGATCAGATTAATATTTAAGGAAATATCTTTTCAGTGTATTCATCCTTGTCATGTAAGATGGCTTTTTAAGATGTGGCTGTCAGATTTTACACTGCAGTCTGCAAAGATGCATATTGGCACTAAATAATGACATAGATGAAGCAGAAACATAGAAAACTAGCTGCATAGCTGTTAGTAAGTGTGGGTGGTTGGTTTTTGTTTTTTTTTTTTTTGCTGTTTTTGTTTTTCTAATGGCTGACAGCCAAGGGTGGGTTGGGAGCTGGCTTTGGTACAGAAGCAGAGCAATTTGGTAGGGCACACCTGCTCACCAAGGCTGTTCGGTTGTGTCAAACTGTACTATTGATATCATTTCATACCACTTGTAGCTACATGAAAAGCATGCGGTTCTATTTATAGATTCTACTGTGTTGTGAAATGCTGGGATGGGTGAAATACTAAAGAAAAAATTCTTTATTTTGTTCATATTAGTGTTCTTGCTACTCTAGTTGGCAGTAATAGAAGAAAACAGAATATGTATCCTTCAGCAAAGAACTGTCTAATGCTGCATTTTATCAAAGAAGAGGAAAAAATGAGTTCATCAGTAGAACTTTATCCTGATGTCTTAATCAGTGTGATGCACAGCTTATGCCGTTTTCTTGATAAAAGCTGTATGTATTCATCATAGCAAAAGGGGACTTGAATAATACACTTGTTAGTCATACGGGCTTTCATGCACTTTTTACTCTGGAATAAAATGCAAGCACATGTAGTTAGACTATCAAAGATTTGTGGGCACAGAGAGACAAAATTTAAGCCACTTTTCTTGGAGATTTTCTCCTAGAGGTAGTGGGGAAAAAATATATGTATAAAATGGACATGCTTTGGGAAAATCTTTCCCTCTTATTTAATTTCATTAGGATTGTATGCCAACTGCCTCAGGATCAGTGCTTAGAAAGCAAGAATGCCGTAGATTATTTTTTTTTCTTTCCTCAATTGTGGGAAATGCTGCTGGCAGAGCAAGGTGCTGATAGGGTATTTGCTAATATTTTTGCTGAGCTGAATGTCTGCCTGTACAGTTATTCCCTATGATCTTTAGTTCTTCTTAATTAAGGAGTATTTTATATTGAGCTGCACAAATAGAATTAACCAATCTTGTCAAGGTGACTTTCCAGGATGTTGGGAGTAGCAAAACTCAGTACCATTTTTCAGAGTGGAAACAGAGTAGAATTCACTGGGGTGGGTTTGTTGAGCTGTTGCTGTGCTTAGGCAGAGCTGAGAGGTGAGCTCTGGAAAGTACTGCAGAGTTAAATTTGTGCATTAGCAGCACATATCTATGTTTTCATAGATACTCTTACGGTGTTTTTAAATCCAGCTTTGTTAATAGTTACACACATAACTACTTAAATACAAGATTGGAATGGTGGTGTAATCTGAGAACCAGCAAAATCTTTTTGTAAGAGTGAGGAATAAGGTGGCTTTAAGGGAGTTCTCAGCTCTCTTGTTGTTTTGAATACCTGATGGGTTCCTTTACTTTCCAGAGTTCAAAGAATTTAAACTCTTTTTAATTTGCATCTGACTTTTGTTTCTATCTAAATTTCTTTTTTCTTTTATTTCTTTCCTCTAGTAAGAGCTATATTCTAGTAGAATCAACAGAAGGAACAAAGCTAATCATGGAGAACTAATACAAGATTCGTACATAAAGCTAACACTTTGTTGGTATTGCAAGCTCAGAACACATTTCAGGATTAGATTGCTAGCAGGTTGTTCAGGAAGAACAAATATCCCAACTGTGAAAAGCTCACATTGTAAGTGAAGAATACTGTCTTATTTTCTAAATTGTGATAAATGGGCCAAGTACACAGGGTGCGTCATGTGAAACTTTTGAGAAGTCTAGACGAGTATCTGTAGGGCATAGGCTAGTCACATTCGATTTGATGTCTGAGCTAGGCAAGTGTTTTTGGTAAAATCTGAAGGAGTAATTGCTAACATCATGGAAAAGCTATAGCTTTGGTTTT